TCCATACACGAGCCGCAAACATTCGATATGACAGATACTGTAGCAACTTTTTAGAATTTGGTCTCCAACTAAACACGGCCTATGTCTGTCTAGTACATTATTTCATCTGAAAGAAAGAAGAAATAAACTGCCAATGAAAGACCCTATAGCAGCTAGCTAGCTAGCTAGCTACATCAAACCAGAGCCAGCCGGCCCATTGTTTAGTTCAAAACTTTGATTCCAAGCAGCAGGATCTATTGTTCATACTATATATGTAGCTGTGACGTTTGGTCCGTTTTGCTGTCTTTTCAGACTAGTATTTGCGATGAAAGGGTAACGCTGAGCACGCCGAAAGAGACACCATGTTGTTCCAGCTCGGTTTTTTTGTTTCAAATGAGGCTTTGAGATCGATCCGGATGGGAATTAATGTGCAGAACCTCATTTGCCCTGTTTGTTTATTTGTGCCTGATCAACTGGAAAGATCATTTGCGCATAAAGAGCATTCGGATAATCAGCATATATTGTGCGCCGCCCGTCACGTTCAGGACGCGCGGCAGGGGCGACGTACAGGAAGCCGCGTAGCACTGACGAGCGACCTAGCTGATGGTGATGGCTCCTGCCGCGCCAGGCGTTCCAAAATAGCCAAGTGGGAGTGGTAGGCATCCTCCCTCGATCCTTGGCAACTTGGCTTTCACGATCGAGCACGATTATCATCTCTTCAGACAACACAGGCCACACAATCTCGACAATGACGTTAACTGAAACAGCGAGCGTGATCGATCGATGCAAAGCTAGCTTTCTCAAGTGCAGACGTGTGCTGGCTAGCTAGTCTGGAGTTAGTCCAGTCATGGGCCTATGATGACAGGATGATATTATGATTGACAAAAGTAACTAACAATTGACGATATGCTAGCTAGCCAGCAGGAAAAAGTGTTTCAACTCTAATATATGTTTCTTCTATGCTTTATTCCAAGTTTACTTTGCTCCGATCCAATCCTCATCGAGGAGGAAGAAAAAAGCTGCTAATAATAAAGATATACTCCTATATGCTGAGCCAGCAGCAGGAAACTAGGCAACCAGCTTGACCAAATCAAGTGTACACATGCTTGTGTTGTATATCTATGGACTGAATCACCGAAGATGAGAACCAAGGAAGCTCAGGACGAAGTTTCAGCAAGACTTGCCAACCAACTCCAGAAATATCACAGACCTTGCTTGGTGGAAGGCAGCTTCAATTCCTCCTCTCATCCGTCAGCTCCTCGCTTCCAGATAGGAGGAGACACTGCGCGTGCTACTAGCTACTTTATTATTAGTCTTCCATTCCCACATTTAAGTCAGTTTGTGCCTATATAGATATGATCGATGACTAGACATATGAAAGATAGATTATAGACAAATCAATTCTCTGGATCAGAGCGGCTGAGAACCCAACTTGTAGGTTAATTATACAGTTGATCGATTCAACTGTATGCATGTATGTTTTGTTGGAACCAGGCTTGATCCTGGAGCTTGAGTGCGCGCACAGCTATGGTGGCTCGCCGGGGACACGGTCACCGCGGCGAGGGCAAACGCCAGATGACAGACACGCAAGAAATATGCTACTATATCGCAGCTCCAACTGACCATCTTTGTTTGTATTTATACTCGGATACAATGAGATCACGGAACAGGCTCCGCGTATCCCGCGCCATGCCGAACACCGTGCGCGACGCCGTTTCATCGCGGCGTGCACCACGTGCTGCAGCGCACAACATGGCGCTAGACAAACTGACTCCACCAGGTTGTGTTCGTGGACCCAAGCACGCCTTGGCCACGCTCAACCTGCACCCTGACTCTAGATGATGGTGAACACAATCTTAACTAAACTATGCAACAATTTAGCTAAAACACACCCCTAAACTTGTTGCACCTCGGCGACACCCAATGTCTTCCTCGGCTCCACAAATCGACTTCGCCTAAGCGACTTCGTGAAAGACGTCGTCCAAACCGGTTTGCAAAGGTGCCTACATGTTCCACCTCCACCTTCCCTTCTTCAATGCACTCACGCGAAAAATGATACTTAGTATCTATATGCTTGCTTCTATCGTGATGCACCGGGTTCTTGCTTAGTGCAATTGCGACATGTTGTCCATGAGAAGCTTTACCGTCTCCTTTGTTCCCATCAGGTCACCCACAAGTCGACCGAGCCATATTCCTTGACAAGCAACAACACCTGCCACATATTCCGCCTCACACGATGAAAGTGCCACAATCTTTTGCTTTTGGGATGCCCAAGTCATCGATTCTTCGCAAGAAAATATACCACACACAAGTAGTACTCTTCACCGTCCTCTGAATCACCAAGCAAAGTCACTATCACCGAACCCTATCGGAAAGGTTTCAGTTCGATGCCTCGCCCATACTTGCATCCAAAACTGATTGTGCCTTTCGATATACACGAGTATGTGCTTTACATGAGCCCAATGGTCCTTGCTTGGAGCCTCCATAAACTTCTTGACAACACCAACAAAGAAATGCAAGATCCGCCTGGTGTTGACCAAGTATCTGAGACTACCAATAACACTCCAGTATGCGCTTGGTTCTATCACCTCATCCTCTAACTTCTTGCTTAGCTTGAGCCTTGCTTCCATGGGTGTTGCACAAGGATTACACTTCAACATCCCAGCAGATTCTAGAAACTTGACTGCATAAGCATTTTGACTCAAGGTGATTCCATCTCCATCTTGCTTCACCTCTATCCCAAGATAGTAACTGAGAAGCCCGAGATCACTCATGCTGAATTTTTTCTTCATCTCCATCTTGAACTGCCTTATGTCATTAACACTTGGCCCTGAGATGATCAAATCATCAACATACACCCCCACAAGCAAAAATGAGTTTTTGTTTTGCCTCCTGTAAACTGCATGCTCGAGTTTGCTCTTCACAAATCCCAGAGAGATCAACTCCTTATCAAGTTTGGCATTCCAGGCCCTAGGTGCCTGCTTAAGCCCATAGAGTGCTTTCTTCAATTTAAGCACTTTTCCTTTGTTGCCAACATTGAAACCAGGAGGTTGCTGAACAAATACAGTTTCAGTGAGATCTCCATTCAAGAATGCTGACTTGACATCCATATGGTGTACCTCCCATCCACTCTGTGCTGCTAGTGCCAATAGCACCCTCACTGTCTCAATTCTTGCAACCGGTGCAAAAACTTCCTCGAAGTCCACTCCATGACGTTGTGCATAGCCCTTAGCCACTAATCGTGCCTTGTGTTTCACCACATTCCCTTCTGGATCCTTTTTGACCTTAAACACCCACTTGAGGCCAATTGCCTTTTGTTTGGGTGGTAGGTCAGTGACAATCCAAGTCTGATTGTCCTTTATTGCCTTCATTTCAGACTCCATAGCCTCTCTCCAACATGGTTCTGATAGTGCATCTTCCACTGTAGCTGGTTCCTCAGAAGCCATAAGACACAACCCTGAATATTCAAAATTCTGAACTTCATCGGTGCTGTAAAACAGATCAGGCAAAGTCCTGTATCTTCTTGGTGCTTCATTAGTACCTTCTGATGCATCTGTTGGTGGGGTAGCCCACTGAATCTGCTGCGTGGACCCTACTGACGATCCAGGGGTGTGAGGTGATGCTGTCGATGCTCCTCCACCAGATGGAATTGAAACTACAGGTGAATCAGGCTCGACGTCTGCAATTTCTGAATCAGCAGCCGGTCCCGACTGTACTATCGGATCGTGAATAGTGTCCTGAAACTTGTCAGTTTGCTCGACTGAAAACTCCAGTGCCAATGCTGCACCTGTCTCCCTACCAGCTCTCTCCACCCAATTCCATGGTTGTTTTTCATCGAAGATCACATCGCTGGTCACGAGTAGCTTGTCATGGATCGGATCATAGACCCGATAACCTTTGGTTCCAGGCTCATAGCCTAAGAACACGCCTGGAACTGACCGATCTACAAGTTTGGTTATTCCCGGCGCTATTCTCTTTGCAAACACCTTGCACCCGAAAGTGCGTAAATGCCGAACACTAGGCTTGCGCCCATACCAAACTTCAAACGGAGTTTTGCCTTCCAAGCTCTTTGTAGGTGAACGGTTCAACAAATAAACAACAGTTCTCACGGCTTCACCCCAAAATTTCCCTGGCACATTCATACTCTTCAGCGTGCACCAAGCCATCTCAACTACGGTTTGATTCCGTCGCTCGACAACACCGTTCTGTTGAGGGGTATAAGCTGTAGTGGTATTGTGCCGAATCCCTTACTCACTGCAGAACACCGAGAATGCCCGTGAGTTGAATTCTCCTCCACGGTCAGTTCTGAGAGCCTTGAGTCGTTTTCCAGACTCCACTTCTGCTGCAATTTTGAACTTCTTGAAACAGGTCAGGGCTTCATCCTTGGTTGCTAGCAATTCCAGCCACATGAATTGGCTGTGATCATCTACAATTAACAGAAAGTAAGCCTTCCCACCCAGGGTGGGTGGTGTTATCTGTCCACACAGATCACTATGCACCAATTCAAGTCCAGTATTTGCACGATATTCAGATGCTATAGGAAATGGTTTTCTATGTTGCTTCCCCAAAGCACAACCGTCACAGACCTGTTCTGCCCTCCTGATCAGTGGAATGCCCACCACCATCTCCTTGGCACCAAGATCATGAAGTGATCTGAAGTTCAGATGCCCATAGCGTGCGTGCCACAGCCACGCTTCTTCGTCCATCTTGGATAGCAAACAGACAGGCGAGGTCACCTTCACCTTCAAAGTATATAGGTGATTCCTCCTCTCAGCACGAATCAAGACACCGAGCTGGTCTGTCCCTTGCTTGCGTCGCTCAAATACAGTCATAACGCCATGACCAATCTCGACACGACATCCTCCTTCTTCCAGCTGACCGAGACTTATAATGTTACATTTGAGAGAAGGAATGTAGTATACCTCCGTGAGTACACGATGATCGCTGTTCCTTCCCGCGAGAGCCACGACGCCGAGCCCGTGGATCTCCACTGTTGATCCATCGCCGAATCTCACCGCGCCTCAGACCGAGTTGTCTAGAGTTGCCAGCGCATCACGACACCCCGTCATGTGATTCGTGGCGCCCGTGTCGAGTACCCATGCGTCTTCTTCATGTTCCGCTGGGAACACGCGTTCCTGGTTGAGGAACACATGCTGCGTCCTTGGCGTGGTCATCCGCACGACGTTGCAGACCTGCGCCACCAGGAGTGCGCCTTCCTGCTCACCAGCGGCATGATGTGCAGCCTCCTGACGCTCCTCCCCATCCATCTTCGTCTTGCACTCCTTTTCGAAATGCCCATAGATGTTGCACTTGCGGCAACGCCCCTTCCGCCGTGGTGTTCCCATCGATGTGAGTCTATTCCCGGAGTCACGCCCATCGCCGCCGGCACGTCCCCTAGGCTTCTCCTTCTTGACAAAACGACCTTTGCCCCTGTTGCTCGATCCAGATAAGGAATCTGTCCCAGCATGACTCTTGCTCCTCGCTGCCCACTCCTCCTCGGTTAACATGAGTTTGGGCATCTTGTCCACGACTTGCTCCATCGAGGACTCAAATCTGTCTTCAGCCGCCCGTAGTCGGCTGATGAGTTCCTCGATGGTGAGCGTCTTGAGGTCGCTGAACATCTCGATTGCCATCGCCACTTGATTGTATCGCGACGGTATAACACGAAGGAACTTCTTCACAACTCGTGAATCATCAACGCTGGTGTCTCCAAGACCCTTCAGATCGGTTGCCAACTTGGTGATCCTTATGGCGAAATCGTCAATCGTCTCCCCGGGCTTGAATGAGATAGCCTCAAACTCAGCCAGGAGCTTCTGAGCATTAACTTCTTTAACGCGATCTGCACCAAGACGCATCGTCTTGATCGCCTCCCATGCCTCCTTCACAGTCTTCTTGTTCAGGAGCATCGAGTGCATCTCCTGAGGCACGCCGCGCAGCATGGCCCCGAGGGCCAATCGATCTCGACGCCTCTCCGGTTTGTCACCGGGATCGATCGCATCCCAAAGAAACATGCCCTCCAGATTGCACTGGATATGCGAGGACCATTCTTGATAATTGGTCCAGGTAAGCATCAGCCACATCAAGTTGCCAGCGGCCTGATTGAATGCCCGGTCCATGGACTCCTTCTCGCCTGACGTTCCCATCTTGCACGACAATTGTTCTCGGCTCCTTCTTCTTCTTCGATCTGCCTCTGCACCTTCTCACCGTCGCCACACACCTCCTCCTCGACAACCTTCGGCTCTGATACCACGTGTTGGAACCAGGCTTGATCCTGGAGCTTGAGTGCGCGCACAGCTATGGTGGCTCGCTGGGGACACGGTCACCGCGGCGAGGGCAAACGCTAGATGCAAACGAAAATAACAGACACGCAAGAAATATGCTGCTATATCGCAGCTCCAACTGACCATCTTTGTTTGTATTTATACTCGGATACAATGAGATCACAGAACAGGCTCCGCGTATCCCGTGCCATGCCGAACACCGTGCGCGACGCCGTTTCATCGCGGCGTGCACCATGTGCTGCAACGCACAACATGGCGCTAGACAAACTGACTCCACCAGGTTGTGTTCGTGGACCCAAGCACGCCTTGGACACGCTCAACCTGCACCCTGACTCTAGATGACGGTGAACACAATCTTTACTAAACTATGCAACAATTTAGCTAACATGTTTGATTTCAGTTGCTGCTACCGCTGCTTCTTCCGGATGGACAGATATTCTTCAGGCTAGACTAATATAACCAAATAAAAGGTAGATTCAGAGGCTGACAGAATTAAGTGGGAAAGCTCGCCACTAGTTACTCTTACAATACATCGATCACATCGAAATCAAGTTTTATTAAAACATATAGGATGCGGATCTATCGATGATGCAGCTTTTATGTACTAATCATGTCTATATAGTTTGAGTAATATATTACTAGTCGAAATCGACAAAGTTTGACCTTTTGAAATCTTAATTAACATACCTCATATATTTTGAAACGGATGGAATACCTTACTGTAATTAATTCTAGACTGCTACTTTGATTTCACTTTTTATTCTTGTTTTTTTTAGTTTGGAATCTGAATTAGTTAGGCATTGCTTAGTTCCATGAAATTTGTGAATTTGGCTACTGTGGCACTTTCATTTTTATTTGGCAATTAGTGTTCAATCATGGACTAATTAGGCTCAAAACGTTCATCTCGCGATTTCCCACCAAATTGTACAATTAGTTTTTTTTCGTCTACATTTAATGCTCCATGCACGTATCGCAAGATTCGATGTGATGGTTACTGTAGCACTTTTTGAGAAAATTTTTTGGAACTAAACAAGCCCTTAATGTAATGAGCTTGGGCTAAAAAAAAGCTGACAACCAAGAGAAAATAAAACGTAAGCATACCAACACCCAAGACATGCATGATGCATGGAACAACACTTTGGCCTTTGGAATCCTGGAAAGAGGAGAGAATTTTGGTTTCGATCACTCGTGGAATTTACTATCACTACCGGAATTTTCAAATTTGCCGAGTGTTTTTATGTTTACCGAGTGCATTCCCTCGGGCACTCGGCGACTACGTTCTTTGCCGAGTGCTGCGCTAAAAACACTCGACAAAATAGGGGGTTTGCCGAGTGTAAAAAAAACATTCGGCAAAGAAATAAAATCTTTTTTCTGGAAAAGAAGGAGAAGAAAAAAAATGAAAAAAAACTTTGCCGAGTACTCAGATCTAGAACACTCGGCAAAGAAATAAAATCTTTTTTCTGAAAAAAAGGAGAAGAAAAAAAAAATAAAAAAAAACTTTGCCGAGTGCTTGATCTACAACACTCGGCAAAGAATTTTTTTTTCCTGGAAATAAAACCCCGCCTCCCTCCTCCTTTCGCGCATTGCATCGCACACCGCCCCCTCCCCCCCGCACACCGCGCGCCCCTCCCTCCCTCCCCTCCCAGCTCCCTCTCCCTGCCCTCCCCATTGGCGGCCGGCCGTCGCCGGCGCACATCCTCCCTCCCCTCGCCTCGCCGTCGCCCCCTTCCCTCAAATCCCGGCCAAGGCTGCCTCCCTCCTCCCTCTCCCGACATCCCCTCCCCTCACCGGCGTCCCTCCCCTCCTCTCCCGGCGTCCCCTCTCCTCGCCGGCCTCCCCTCCTCTCCCGGCGCCCCTCCCTCGCTCCCGGCGCCCCCTCCCCTCCTCTCCCAGATCCGGTGCCCCCCACCCTCTCCCGGCCAGCCGCCCCCGGATCCGGCCCTCCCTCTCCTAGATCCGGCCCCTCCCTTACCTTTCGCCTCCCGCACGGACTCATGGAAAGGGATGGAGTCCACGGCCACCGCTCCATGAGGACAGTGCCGCCCTCGTCGGGTCCACTCGCCCGGCCCCTCCCACTGCGCCAGCCGACGGTGTCCCTCCTTCATTGCCGCTTCCACGACGCCCACATCGGCTCGGTGGGTCAAGTGAAGCACGACGTCGGCGGGGAGCGGGAGGGCGGCTGTGGCTCGCATGTCTCGCCCATGGCGTAAAATCGTCGCCTCCTCAGTTGGTGCCCCTGCATACTTGGTTTGATTGGGTACTTGCATTAACTCGAGGCGTGGATGGTGGCGGCGACGGCGGTGCTGGTGGTGCGGGCGTGGTGTCAGCGTGCCTTTTTAATTTTTTATTTTGAAAAAAAAAGTTTACCGAGTGTTTTTTGGGCACTCGGCAACGTTTAAAAACACTCGGCAAAGTAGCGTTTGTCGTAAAAGGGTTTGCCGAGTGTCGTTTGCCGAGTGTAACACTCGACAAACCCTTTACCGAGTGTTTTGGGGGCTTCGCCGAGTGCCCCTGATACTCGGCAAAGCTCCTGTATCTTGTAGTGTATCTGCTGCCTACAACAAGCCCACAACTGTGGGGCAATACTATATTGTATCATTCATTCTACTTTCTTCTTTCATAGAAGCAGATACCGAGAGCATCTTTTATTTCTTATTCTTGCACCGGTCCAGATGCATGTACCTACAACTCCAAAACGAAAAAGGAACCTTTGGGTTCGGTGTACTTCATTCAGTTTGGTGGATGGCATTACAAACGGAGAAAATTCCTTGTTGTCATTGAAAACTATAACGATCCCTCGTTGCCATTCAAAATTATATGTTCCCTTCGTCGCCATTAGTTTTAGATTTTTCGTTCCTTGCTGCCACTGCCGTTACACAGGAGTCACGGCGTGACTTCGCTCCCACGCGCCATCACCGCCCTCCCGCTCCGTGCACACTGCACGTCACACCGTCTATCTCTCTCCACGACGTCCTTGCGCGGTCATGCATTCGGGCGGGAAGGGGAGTTCTAAGTGCTCAGCTAGCGTCGACCGGCGTGGTTGGTTGGCGCAGAGAAGATGCGAAGGCGGCTGTCCACGTGTGCTGCGAGGCTGCCAGCACGCGACGACGGTGATGATGGCGTTCCCGGCGCTGCGAGGAGCCCTGGAGGTCGTGGCCACCATGGAGGCCGCGGCGGCGAAGTGGCTGCGCGCCGAGGAGGAGATCCAGCGGATGGGCCACCTCAACAACTCGGCGCTCGAGGAGCGGGTGAAGAGCCTCTTGTTAGTTGATCTCCACCAATAGGCCTAACGGCCTATTGGGCCCTTGCCTCTGCTCCCTGATCGGGGGAGCCCAACCCTAACTGGATGGTGGGCCCCTGTCGTACAACACATACAAATAGAGAAGGTGGGGATCGGGGCTCGTTTCACGAGGTTGAACGGAGCCGCCACCCACCTATAGAGAAAACCGTAATCTGATCCTAAAGCGTGCTGCCAGCGACGGGATGAGCCCGCCACCACCGCCGTCGCCCCACTGTAGGGTCACCACCGGACCGCCGTCTCTCCACCGCGCTAGACATCATCTACACCGTTACAACGGCGTCTACCCGCTGCAGTGCTACTGTCCCAGGGCGAGTGGAGAAGCCCTAAAGGAGAGGACTACCCTGATCTACGGTTACATACAAAGAGGTACACATCTATGATCCTAACAATGGTACCAGAGACAGGTTGCCTCTATGTGACCCTAACCCTAACTGGATAAAAGCAAAGAAAAGAGTGACCGAGGAGGCGGACATCACTGTCTACCGGTCATCACCGCCACCGTGCGTGGGGGAAAGAAGCCGCACCGTTCGACGGCGCACGACAAAAGTAAAGAAACGAATAGATCCAGTTCGGATCTAAGGAAAGAAGAAGAGTGGGTTCAGATTTGGCCGAACCCTAAGACCTAACCCTAACTCGCATGGAGAAAGGGAAATGGGTAGAGCCATTCGGATGAAATCCAAAAAGAAAAGAAATCAAAGAAAAGAAAAAACCAAAGAAAGAAGAAGAATAGGGGTCGGAACCGAACCCTAACCCTAGATCCCTTTTTTCGGGTGAACAAGCGAAAAGAAAAGAACAAAGAAAAGGGGTCGGCCCAAACCCTAACCCTAGAACGATTCCCCATCCCTAACCGGTCGAATCAAAAGAAAGAAAAGGAATCAAAGAAACCCTAACCCTAACCCTAATCCCCACCTCCGGTTCGAAAAAAACAGAGAACAATCCAAATCGGAGAAAGAGAAAGGGAAAGGGGAAGGGATAAACCTCGCCGTGCATCGGGATGGCCCTTCGCCGGCGCGGGAGAAGAAGGGCCGAGCCTGGGGCAGGATGTTTGCCGGGCTCGGCCAAGAGGGCGCCGCGGTCAGGCAGCTCGATGGCGGCGTGCTCACCCATCGGGGAGCACGCGCGCCGGCGAGGGGGCTGGCGACGACGCCATGCCTCGCTCCACCGTCCGCTCGCTCGTCGTCTCGCTCTCGGTGGCTGCTGTCCTTGCGCTAAGAAAGAACGGCGCGAGAGAAAGAAAGAGAGAGAGCGAAGAGAGAGAGAGCAGAGGATCAAATGACCTAGGGTTTTCGGAACTCACAGCCGCGGCGGGTTTTTGACCTCCCGAAACGCGCGGGCGAGCCGTTGATCAGATCGAACGGCTACAAATGATCGGGCCGACTCGCAGCCCAGGCGGGAGCGCGCGGCAGCGCACTTTGCCGGCCCAGGCCCAGGTTGCGGCCTGGGTGCGGCCTGCGCGCGCGCGGTGAGCTGGGCCGAGCTGACTTTTGCCGTTTTGGGCCGCCGAGAGTAAAGAATGAGCCCGTTTCGCATTTTTCTTTTTCCTGGAAAATTGAAAATGCAA